GGGGTTGAAGAGTCGGGCTGAGCCAGCGCTGAGGGATCTGGGGGAGTTGGGAACGGTCAGGGGGAAGGTCATGGTTGGGCTGGAGGAGCTGCAAGGGCTTTTCCAACCCAGATGATTCCAGGATTCTGTGAGATTCCACCTTACTGAATGAACCCAGCGAGATCCAAGGCTGTGACCTTCAGCAGATGCCACTTTGACCACAGCCTTGACCTGCTGCCAGGGCTGCTCCAGGGGCCACCTTGTGGGCGTTTACGTAGACCTGCTCCAAACTACTGTTCCTTTGGCCTCCACGATGGAGCACGGAAGAAGGTCGATGCAGTTTTGCTAATAGGTGCGGTGCATGTTTGCCTTGCTCTGCTGTGACCTCTCAGTTCCCATTTGCACCCTCTGTTGGACACACCTTGCCCAATAAAAGGATTCATGTCCTCAGGACATGGGATAGTCCAGCTTCCAGGTGAGCAGGATCAGGTCTCAAACTCATTTTTTTCTCCACCCAACAGCCTTCAGGCAGTCCATTTCAAACAGCTGAATCTATCACAGCTGAGTTGCTCTGAAAATTTTTGGTTTAATGATTGCCAGGCAGCCCCCCGGCTTCATACGCTTCTGCCGGTTCCATGAGATCCTAAATTTCACAAACCTCGTCAGGCATGATGCTGGGGAGGCTGCTAATTGGAACCATCGGGGTTGGGGGCAGACAGGCAGCTTCGTTTGCGGCATGGGAGGCAGGGTGGGAATGGCCTTTCAGACTGTAATTAAAGCCGAGAACTCGCTGCAGGAAATCACTTTCCAGGTCATGCATCTTTCTCCACCGCTTTCACATGCTGCAAGCAGATTGTGCCTCGCACGGAGGCTGCACACAGAGCCGAGCTCCCCAGTTCACTGTCTTCCAATGTCTTTTTGTCATGTTTTATCCGTGTTGTCGACTTAGCCGGGCTCATTCCCACCCATAGAATGACAAAAGCCCAGCCCTCTTGCTCTCCAAGGGAGATTCTCATCTGCAGATGCTTGGCATCACCGTGGGTTTCTCCTAATGAGCGTAGTTGGTCAAAGAGCAACTCAGTTGGAGCAGGTGATCATTGTAGGTCCCTTCCAACAGAAACATTCGATTCTGTTCCTGCCTTTATTTGCATTTCTCGCAGCGCCCCTAAATAGGTCATGAGGATCGTGGAAGTGAGTTGGGTGAACCTGTGTGTCTGCTGCTGGGTATCCATGTGGATGCGGGGTGAGTGACCTCTTGTGATCACCTACTGTAGGTCACCAACAACTGCCGCCTTCTCTTAAGCATTGAGAGAAGATTTAATGATTTCGCAGATGCTTCTGCTCACCTTGTCACAAGAAACTCAAGTATTGAACGACTTCTGGGTGGGCTTCATGGCTCCTCTGGCCAGGGTTTCTAGAGAAGTTTGTAGAATCATCGAAGGGTTTGGGTTGGAAGGGACCTACAAAGGTCATCTAGTCCAACCCCCTGCAATGAGGAGGGACATCTTCAGTGAGATCAGGCTGCTCAGAGCCCCGTCCAACCTGACCTTGAATGTTCCCAGGGGTGGGGCCTTGCCCACGGGGACCAGCAATTCCCTTGGTCAGCCAGAGCGTGACGGACATCTTTGCAGGCGTACCCCTTCTGCAGCTGTGATCTGTCAGCATCTCCATTTTCTCTGGATATTTGATCTCCCGCAGCTGGGAGGTTGTCTCACTCAACTTCTTTTGGCTCCAGTTTTCTTGCCCCCTTACCTGTGCCACAGGCACGCAGGTGCTGGCCACGCCAAGTCTCGCCCCCACCTGACTGGGTGGGTTTTTCACCAGATTCAATTTTTTTAATATGACACTGCTCAGAAAACCATCTCCCAGGCTCAGCAGGTGTCACCAACTCCTTCATTAATTTCCAATCGCTCACCGTGCTCCCTCACGCTTATTGCGGTCCAAGCGGTAACGATGCGAGCCAAGCTCTTGGGTGATGAACCATCTGAAAAAGTACACGGATATTTGGAGACAACTGTGAGTGGAAAATGCATTTCCAGCGTAAAGCTAAAGGCAGCTCAAGATGTAACTCCTCTTCCTCATACCATTCTCAAATGTTTTAGAGAAAAAATGTTCATATCTTACATTTCTTGCTCTAAGCCAGGGTGGAAGATGAAATTGGAGACAAAGCGCCCTGTCCTGTTTCTTTTTAATATCCTCTCCTTGAATTCTCCACTCCCTGCTGCAAAACAGGACTCCGGATTAGACAGATATTTGTCTAATGCAGCCAAGTGCTTACGTAGATCGTCAGACGCAAAATACAGTTTACGTAACTGCAAAGAAAACCATCTTTTAACTTTTATTAGAAGCAGTGGCTGTAATTAAGAGTATGAAGCCTTGCAGGCCAGTGATTGCAACAGCGGATTAGGTGCTGGGATTTCATTTCTATTCCTGGCTTTCCCATCGAGCTGTGCTATTTCAGTCGTCACTTTCTCTTATTTTAAAAATAAAAGCTATACCGCTTTCCAAGCCGCTGTGAAATGGTGCCACTTCCTATCCTGGGGGGGGAAAAAATGCCTTTTTTTTTTTTTTTTAGTTTAGTAGATGTTTCCTGCTCTGCCAGAGGTTCCCATGTTAAAGCTGCCCGAAGCAAACTTGTGTCTCTGCTGCAGCCTTTGTGATCCACATTTTAGGATATTAATGGAAAAATCACCTTTGAAGTGTCCTCCACCCCAGCTGGGGAGAAGGTCCATGCCGGGATAGGGCTCCCACCAGGACAAAAATGCAAAGCTGCCTTTTGCAAACACCGCCGGCTCCGAGTGAGGCGGGAGGTGAGAGGCAGCTCCAGATGTGCCGCTCCTCCAGATGTGCCGCTCCTCCAGATGTGCTGCTCCTTCTTGTATGTCACTGCCGTACAACAGCAGCTACCGGCGTTGCACACTCCAGCGTTGGTGTCGGTGCTCCTGCTCCTGCTGCTCTCTGCAGTTTTGAGGTTCGCTGCTCCTTTTACGAGCCCACCGAGGGTTTCACGCGGGGGACACGTGGGGGTTGCGAGTACGGGCGCCGACGGCCCTCGCGGGGCACATGCTCCGCATGTGCTGGGATGAATCCTCACCGGACAGCAAATGTCGGGAGCTTTCTGCAGCATCTGCTCTATCTCAGCAGCACATTGAAAACCTGGCCCGGGCATCTGTCTTAGTGATTGTCATAAAAGACATTTGGCAATCGGTTTTGGAATCTGGCTTTGGCATAATTAGGCTCGTACAAGATCCAATTAGTCAAGTAAGGGATTAGCCCTGAGTCCCAACTGTTTGGGCAGGTGACGGGGGGTGGTGCAGGAGGATGGAAGCCAGAGGGTGCGCTCGTCTTGTGGCATTTAGATTTGATATATTTTTTCCCCTGTCTTAATTTCCTTAGTCAAGGCAGCGTAGGGCTCAGGAGTAGCGGTCGCGCTGTGAGCACCCTCCGGCTCTCAGTGTACATGGCGGGGTGCGGCTGCATCACGTGCCTGGTGCAGGCAACATGGGCTGGAGCTGCAAGAGCTCGACATGTTTTTCTGGAGCCTGTTCTGGTATGAGAGCCAGGCTGGTCGGTGCAGGGGGGTTGTTCTGGAATAGCTCCAGCATCTGAAAGTCGAGTTTTCTGAGCTGTAGCCTCAGGCTCCCTTGAAGAGCCACAGATCTCCGAGGTTAGTGGGGAGATCTCTTCCCACTGGAGTAAGAAGACTGTGTTGATGTTTATTGTCTCTCAAAGTAGGCTAATAGAAGTTACAAGGCCTCCTTTTTTTTCAGGAATAAGCAGATTGACATTTATTGAGGAATAATCATTTTATTTGCATTTAAGATAATGCGTATAGTATTTTTGTTGCATCTTAGTCTAACGCAAATCATAGACTCATCAAATGGTTTGGGTTGGGAGGGATCTTTGAAGGTCATTTAGTCCAACCTCCCTGCAATGATCAGGGACATCTTCAACCAGGTCAGGTTGCTCAGAGCCCCGTCCAACCTGACCTTGAATGTTTCCAGGGATGGGGCATCGACCACCTCTCTGGGCAACCCGGCCCAGTGTCTCACCACCAAATCATAAAAAAATTCTTCCTTAAACCTAGTCTGAATCTATCTTCTTTTAGTTTAAAACCATCACCCCTTGTCCTATCACTACAGACCCTACTAAAACCCCTCTCTCCCTCTTTATTATCAGCCCCCTTTAAGGATTGACAGGCCACTCTAACGTCTCCCTGGAGCCTTCTCTTCTCCAGCTGAACCCCCCTGTTTTGCCAATTATCAGGCCTAGCATAAAGGAGACAGCCAGGATAAAGATGAACCAATAACCAAATTGTATTTGATACAAAAGAGTCAGTCCATGGGTGAGCACTGGGGGTACAAACAAGTCAATCAGGTTATACATAATCGACATCAATCCCACTGACCCCAACAACGACACCGCACAACCAACAATCTCTCTTCATGCAGAGATCGTGCAGATCCCAAGACCATCTCCTTGGGAAACCACAAGCTGGCGACAGCTGGAGCAGGCGCCATAGCTCTGAAGGGAAGATGTCCACTTGGAGAAACATTTGTCCTCCTCCCAAAAGCAGCACAGACCCTTATCTTCTGATAAGCCAGGGCAAGCACAGGCATTTGTAGGGGATTTTGCTGTGAAAAAAATCCCTTTGCATCCCGTATGTGGGGCATAAAGGCAGACAACGGTAACGATGGACTGACAGGATCATTTGCTTATCCTCAAAGGGCTTCTCAACATCAACACCAGTTTTCCTTCTGCAGAGAAGGTTGGGTTGGAAGGAGTACAGCCAGCAGTGGGTCAGCTCCTTGAAGCCTTACAAAATTGCTCTGAGGGCTTTGTTCTCTTCGATGCAGACTTAAATGCAGCTGAAATCAGCGGAGAAAGCTTGAAGTGAAGACAGAAGGGTGGGACAACTGCCTATCCAAGGCTTTGGGACTGCTAAGTGCAGTGCCTGTAATGTCTTCTGCACATCCTCAACCCCCCCAGGGCATAGGGTAGAGCTGCACCCGCCCTGGGCAAGGCACCTGCCGCCACTGGGGCAGAAATAGAAAGAAAAGTCCTTCATCTGCCAGTTTATCTCCTGGTAAGGAGTGTGCTCCCACACTCGGGGTTTATTCAAGGGGAAATGTTTCAGGAGCTTGTACTTATGAAGTAGTGAAGACAGGGATGCTCGGGAGAGCCTTCCTGGGCCAGGCGTGGACGTAGAGGTAATCCTGCGCTTCAGTCTAACTCTGCCCCTACCCAGGGCGCTCTGGGAATACATCAGGTCTCCTGGGAGGGGGTGAATATGACAGGAAAAAAACATTTTTAAATCTCCAGCTGAGCCTGCCAGCAGCAGCAACATGTCCAAGCGGTGCCGTGGTGTGCTCAGCCTCTGCTCTGGGAGTCAGCAGATCCCCTCCAGGGATGGTCGATGGTTTCCAGCTGCCTGGTTCATGGCAAGCAGGCGTGATGCTCTGCCAGGGGAGGATTCGGACTCGCAGCATCAGCAGGGCTGTGCTGGGGATGTCAGGGGAGCAGGAGGAGGGAGGGAAGGGTTGCGCATCGGCAGATCGCGGCTCAGGGACCCCTGACTTCGCCAAAGCATCCCCCTCCCTCCTACACTGTCCCCCAAACACCCACTTAGTCCCGTCAGGCACCAAAGAAGCTGAAACCATTGGGCAGCGATTGCTGCCGGCTCATTCCCCGTGTTCCCAGTGCCAGGATCCAGCTCCACGTGCCCCTTTTTGGATGTTCCTCCCTCCCTTCAGTTCTTTTGGCAGACCTCAAGGCCGGATGGTTTTGGCAATACTCCCGTGCCAGGTGAAAAGCACCCGAGAGCTGTTTGCAGCCGCAGCTGATGGAGCTGTTGCTACAGAGATCTTGCCAAAAACAGCCTCCAATCAGCTCCCAACACCGGTGTGATGCCGAGCCCTGCTCGGAGCCCGGCAAGCCAGCGAAACGATAAATAGGTGTCAGCTTTGCCCATAAAAACCCTGCGCTCAGTCCTGCTGGGGACGGCGATTCGCAGCAATTGTGGGCCTTATTATTTCCCCAGGTCTTCTTCCAAGTGTGTGCATTTTGTGCCGCCTGTGCAAATGTGGTATTTATCCTCTCTTGTGCTATTTCCGACCTTCTCTCTTGTACCTGGAGGCGTGTTCCAGGCAGACCCGTCGCTTAGTTTCCTACTGTCCTTTCTCCTGCTTGGATGCTGCTGCGAGCAGAAGGCTTTAAAAGACCAGCTATGGCTCAGCGGGCAGCACCGACCTGTGCCAAGCTGTGCCCAGGTTCACATCTGGCCTTACAGAGCCGGGTTGCCCAGGTTGGGCTTTAACATTAAGATTTGGAAGGTGGGTTTTTTTCTCCCCATAAAAATAATCAGTGTTGTCTGTCTGTCTGTCTCCACCGCCACGGTGAGTGCTGGAGGTGCTGGCATGCAGCAGAGATGGAGACAGGCTGTCATGGCATCAGGAGGACACACATACACACACACAGAGTAGAGAAAAGGTATTTTAACCTCAGAAAAGTGTGCGTTTTCATCAAATCATCAAATGGTTTGGGTTGGAAGGGATGTTCAAAGACCATCTACTCCAACCTCCCTGACATGGACAGGGCCACCTTCCACTAGCCCAGGTTGCCCAAAGCCCCGTCCAACCTGGCCTTGAACCCTTCCAGGGAGGGGGCAGACTCTTGGTTCCTGCTTTGCCCCAGCTGGGGCGGGACATACCCGACTATTCCCTTGAGTGCGCGCAGCGGGAGCAGAGTGGTGATTACTCTTCTCCCGGCGGGAAGGACATTTAGGGTCACTTTCTCTGCTGCTAAAACACCAAAGCGGTGAGGTTCAAGTCGTTACTGCTGGTCTCAGCCCACATTTAAACATGATGAGCAGTTTAAAGATGTTCCCGTAGTGTACTTGGGTGTAAGTGGGGTGATCCAGAAGAGCTTTTATAGATGTTCCAGCTCTCTTGCAGCCAGGGTATTTGGGCAGAGATGTTTTTCTGCTACGAGGCTCTTCCCTTCACCCTTTCTCCCGATATTTTTTCCATGGATAGGACAGATGAGCGAGGGATCAATTTGTTTTCCACACGAACAGCATGGGCTAAGGCATCTGCATCTCTCCGGTGTGACACATCCACGGTGCCCAGCATTGTCAGAGGGGGGTAGCACAGCTGGGGAGAGCAGCCATCCCTCCCTCCCATCTGTCACGGTCCACTCGGTGGACTCGTGATGGGTCGATTGCTACAATCTCAAAAGTGCAAAATTAAGGTGACCAACACCAAAGGGGAAAGCAGTAATCAAACAGTGAAACTTGATTGGGTTGCCCGTGAAGCAGCCCGCGATAGAGACGGGTGAAAGAAAGGAGAAAAGTAAAATTTTAGAGAGAGGAGAGAGAGAGGTTATAGCTACCACCGCTCGCCTCACGACGCCCTAACGGTCCCCAGTCCAGCTGATGCTGCATTGTCGATGGCTGTGATCCTTGGTGGGGAAGCTTCCAATTTTCATTGTCCAGAAGTCATCCTTTTATGCTCAGTAACACACCTTGCTCCTCCTCCGCCTCGGGGGTCTCCGCCCTTCTCGAGCGAGGCTATCGCACATGCGCAGGGAGGGGCGTGCGAGGCGTGGTCAGTCTTGGAGGCGGGCAGCCTTCCACCAGGAGGGGTGTTTTGCTATTACAATGAAGCAAAGTTCATCTAAGGTTCACGATTTCTTCATTGATGTTATGGCAACAGTTGCAATCCATCGGCACCACATCCCACTCCAGGGATCGGCAGAGCCAAGCATGCCGTTGTCGGGTACCTCACTGTCCATTCCCTCATGACAATGTTGA